GTCTCTTCAATCTAGCAGAGAAAGTTCTAACCCAATCCAATTGTTGGAAGTTGAAGTGAGACAAATCCGGACTGGAAATAAGGTGTATATTTTTTAATTGTGAGAGTAATTAACCATTGGAACAACTTAGACTCAGACTTTAAGGCCAGAAGGGACCATCGTGATCATCTGGCCTGACCTGCACATTGTAGGCCACAGAACCTCACCCACCCACCCTGTAACAGATCCCAAACCTCTGGCTGAGTTACCGACATCTTCAAATCATTATTTAAAGAGTTCAAGTTACAGAGAATCCACCATTTGCTCTAGTTCAAACCAGCAAGTGACCCGTGCCCCATGCTGCAGAGGAAGGTGACCCCCCCCGCCCCAGGTCTCTGCTAACCTGACCTGGCTGAAAATTCCTTCCCACCCCCAAGTATGGCGAACAGTTAGACCCTGAGCATGTCAGCAAGACACCTGGGAAAGAATTTTCTATAGTAACCTGGAACCCTCCCCAGGTAGTTCCCATCTCTGGCCATTGGGGTTATTTGCTACTAGCACTCCTAGATGGGCCACATGCCATTGTAGGCAGTCCCATCACCATCCTCTCCATACATTTACCAAGCTCAGTCTTGAAGCCACTTAGGGTTTTTGCCCCCACTGCTTCCCTGGGAAGGCTGTTGCAGAACTTCACTCCTCTGATGGTTAGAAACCTTTGTCTAATTTCAAGCCTAAATTTGTTGATGGCCAGTTTATATCCATGTGTTCCTGTGTCCACATTGGCACTTAACTTAGATCAGGGTCGGCAACCTTTCAGAAGTGGTGTGCCGAGTCTTCATTTATTTACTCTAATTTAAGGTTTCGCATGCCAGTAATACATTTAACGTTTTTAGAAGGTCTCTTTCTATAAGTCTATAATATATAACTAAACTATTGTTGTATGTAAAGTAAATAAGGTTTTTAAAAGTTTTAAGAAACTTCATTTAAAATTAAATTAAAATGCAGAGCCCCTGGACAGGTGGCCAGGACCCAGGCAGTGTGAGTGTCGCTGAAAATCAGCTTGCATGCCACCTTCGGTTGCCTACCCCTGACTTGGATAATGCCTCTCCCTCCCTGGTATTTATCCCTCTGATGTACTTATAGAGAGCAGTCAGATCTCCCCTCAGCCTTTGTTTGGTTGGGTTAAACAAGCCAAGCTCCTTGAGTCTCCTCTCAAAGTAGGTTTTCCATTCCTCAGATCATCCTAGCAGGCCAGACTTGCCCACACTGTTCCAGATGAGGTCTCACCAGTGCCTTGTATAATGGCAATAAACCCTTCCCTGTCTCTACTGGAAATACCTCACCTGATAAATCCTAGGACGGCATTAGCCTTTTTCACAGCCGCATCACACTGATGGATCAGTCATCCTGTGATCAACCAACACTCGCAGGCCTTGCACCTCCTCCAAGGGGCATGGGGGAGTCTCCATCACTGACAATCTTTAACTCAGACTTGGTGTTTTTCTAACAGCTCCGCTCTGGGAATTATTTTGGGCAGTTCTCTGGCCTGTGCTATCCAGGGGGTCAGCTTTCATGATCACGATGGCCCCCTCTGGCCTTGGAATCTCTGAGCTCCCCCCAGCTCTGGAGGCTGTTCAGCCCCACTTCCTGGCAGTGGAGGGGGGTAATGCAGCATGCGCCACAGAGACTAGCCTCTCCCTTGCTTTGTCATTCCATTCCACCATCAGTGGGGAGCGAACTGAGCAACCTCAACCCCTGTAACCAGGAATCATCAACGGCGAAAGGGCAAACCCGTGGGCGTCTGCCATGCCCAACAATAGCAACAAATGCTGTCATTGTAAACACTGGCTCTGGGTTGATGTTAACACTCCTTGGGCAGCTCTTTGCATCTCTCCAACTGGGCTTGTGGGTGCTCCCGCTGCTTGGATCCTCACCCAGTCCAGTCCATACAAAGGAGCCCTGCTTGTATAAAATAAAAGGCATGTGTGACCTATTTCTGTAACCTCCCAAGCCAGAGGCAGAGTGACTGCAGCAGGGTGTTGGATCTCATAGGAGTTTGACTTCCTCTTACACTGGTCTAGATAAGATTCACCCAGCTTCTCACTCCCTCTTTGCCTAAATCCACCGTAAGTAGAACCTGGCTTCAGGATGAGACATCCTGCTTCCATCTGTCCCACCGCAGAGGTGCACTTACCTTGTTAGCATCAGATTCAGCTGATGCCTCAGTTTCTCCATTGGTTGGGTGGTTTAGCTCTTCTGCTGAACCCAAATCGCCCCCTCCCAGGGCAATCCGTGACAATCCACAAGGAGGGAAAACAAACTCCCTGAGCTACAGCTCCTTCTCAGGGGCTGGACCAACCACCCCAGTAATTCACCACTCTCTGTGCTCCAGAATGGCCCTTGCCCAGCCCTGTCCAGACACCTTGAGCCCCTTCCCCTTGGAGAGAGACGAGACGAGACGAGCGGAGCCTAACCTGCCCTGCCCTGGTCACCAGCTTGGCAGAGAACAGAACAGCAAACCTACCCCTGACTTGTCCCAGCCTGAGGAAAATGGGCCGTCTTACACCCGGCATGCTTTGTTAGCAGCTTACCGGTCCCATGTTCACTGGACGGCAAGTCCCAGAACCCCTTGGTGTTTGGCAAAGAACAAGTCACAGGAGCAAGCTGAACTCTGACCCTTCTAACCCCGCCTCCCCCTGCCACAGCCACTGTTGCATGGGGGGACTAGGCTTCTGGTTCAGGTGAATCTTTGGGGGTTTACGGCTCGGCCTTTAAAAAATCACCTAGAATTGTAAGTGCAGCTCTGCAGGCAGTTCCCCTCCCTCACACAGTGACTTCCCAGCCCCACATGTTTGAAAGTCACCGTGACTGGACAGTGGCGCCAGTGGTGTGACTTTGTGGGAAGGACTGCAGGTGCCAGGTGCCAAGTGAGTCCATTCCTGGGAGCTGGTTCCTGTGTCAGAGGATGTGATGGGCTTTGGGAGATTTGAAATTACAAATTAAGCTTTTGAAAAGTGACTTGCCAGGCAGCTGGGACGTGAAACCCACATAAGATTCCAACTCAGTGCAAACACAGCGCCAGAGATGCTCAGTGTAGACAAGAATACCTGGAAATCACTTCCTCATTCTCTTAGGGCACAGGGTCATTCCCATCAACTTCAACAGTGCAGGACCTAGCCCTCCGCTGCCAAGCTGTGAGTCCACGGTTCTGTGTCCCCCCAGCACCAGAAACATCTTGAGCCCAGTAAGAAATACAGCTCCCTACTTTGCACCAGAGACCAGTGATGCCCCACTGCTGCGGGAGAGACACAACTATTGTTGTCTGGCGGAGCGGCTGCAATATTGGATGTTCCGCATAAGGGCCCCAACTCCTGGAATCCAGTGATTAGGGAGAATCTCGGCTTTCATTTAAAACAAAGCTAAGTGGAGTGTCTAGTCCTCATGGGTGCAAAGCTTGAAAATGTGACCCAAGTGCTCCCCAAAGACTCAGAAACCCGACAGCAAAGACACCCCTCCCACCTCCCTTATGTTGATAACTGTCAGGATTTTGTGACTTTGGGGGTGATTCATGGCTTTAAAATACTTGTCTTTGGGGCTTAGCAATTCAACTGTCACATAGGCCCAGCCCTCCAAGCCTATGGGTGGGGGGGCGGGGGGCTGGCTGTGCCACATTCCCCTCTGCATCGCCTTTCTAACCGGGCCCGCAGCCTCCCTCTGGGGGATGGGTTTGGGGTAGATAATTTTCAGGCCTGGACCCAGCTGCTGAAAACCTGTGCCAGAATCCCAGCCACCGAGCAGGCCAGCAACCATGGGGAGGGCTGACAGAAACAGCTGCCCCTGCGCCCAGGGACCAGACACAGCAGGGCCCTGCAGCTATCGCGGGCAGCAAAGATACAGGGGGTCAGAGAGATTCCCATGCTCCCCTCTGCAGTTACTGGCAGTCAAAGAGAAGGGGGCTCCCCTCCCAGGCACAAGTTCTACTGCTGCCAGGGCTACAGCGGTGGGGGCTGGAAGGGAACCCTGCCCTGCAGGTCGCTCCGCACACAGCAGGCTGCATGTACCTGCCGCACTGGGGCAGGCTTGAGCCTTGACACCGTCTCCCCAGAGCTGGGAGCCTCCCCCTCCGCTGCAGCTCCCGGTGGCCCAGCTTGGCCAGGGAGGGGCTCGCAGTGGGCAGTGGGCCAGGAGCTAACAATGTTGATTAATGTTCTGATGGCTGCTAAGCCCCTTCTAAAAACACGCTTTAATATTTCTGATATGTGCAAATCTATTTTGTAACCTGGAAATGTTACATGGCGCCGGGATTAGGTAATGTAGATAAAGTCCGTGGCGGGGCCCGGCCACAATCATTTGCAAACACAGCCTGAGATTAAGGTATTTTTTTGAAAGATTAGTTGGTATTACTGCTGATTGTGATATGCAGGACCGGGCTGCAGCCCCGCTTTGCCAGCCCGCTGCACAGACCTGCATTTAGGGTATTGGATGGTATTGTAAAGATCTGAAGGAGTCAGTGCAATAATACTTCCCCGCTAATGAAAATTACGGCGCTAAGCTGGGGAGGGGGCGCGGCCCCACATTGATGATTGGGATGGAATTGCTTTGCAGCACGCACCCAAGAAAGCCAAGAGGCAGAGGTCACCCCGCTGCACGCCCTGGGAGCAGAGCCTCCCTCCAGATTAATTCAGCCAGGTACCACTGCAGGGGCTCAGACACTTAGTCCGCCGTGTCCTGTGGCAGCCCAGAGTCTCCCGCGCCCAGCTGCCGTGCAGGGTAGTGATTAGATGGAGTGGGGGTTGGGAGCCTGGCGGAGGGGACTGACACAGCTAAGGGCTGTTTCCAGGTTGGCAGCCTGGCCCCGTTAGCTGGGTTTGCCCCCATGTCCATGGGCAGCATTTCCAGCTGGCACCGCAGCTCCGGATGTCTTGCCCAGCACAGAGCCCAGCAGTGCCTGGTGCCAGCTGCTCCAGAGGAGCTCTGCCCCCCAGCAACAACTGCGGCACCCGCCTTGGCCGGGGCCAGGCCTAGGGCTCGCCCAGGTTGGTGATGATGGCCGCGTTATAGATGAGGTCGGAGATGTACCCGAGGGAGGTCTGCGCAGGGAACACATCCCAATAGGAGAGCCCCTCACCGGCCGTGGGGTCCGCTCCCTGCGGCCCCGCCTGGCCGGGGGCAGCCACAGGCCACTGGGCTCCCGCCTGGCTGCAGGGGGGCTGGCAGCTGTCCTCCCACAGGAGCTGCCCCTGGAAGGCAGAGACCAGGCCCGGCAGCGCTTGGCCCAGGCACTGCTGGGGGGAGCTGCCGGGCAGGCGGAGCTCGGGCACCTGTTGGCTTCTGGCCCCTTGTCCCTGGGGCGGTGGGGGGCAGGAGGGGGGCGGTTTACTGGCCAGAGCCCTCCGGCAGCTCGGCTGCTCCGGCTTCCCGCTCTTGATCCTCCGGGCGCGGCGGTTCTGGAACCAGACCTGGGGAGAGAAGGGCCGTGAGGGACTCCCCTGCCCCGGGCGCAGACCCGCGCTGGCGCCCCCCGACGTCCCAGCCCGCGGGATAGGACGGGGCACCAGGGGCTCCCCCGCCCCGCGGCCAGCCCGCCCCGCCTCACCTGGATCTTGGCCTCGGGCAGGTGGGTGAGCTCGGCCAGGCGCTCGCGGGTGCCGATGTCGGGGTAGGGCAGCGCGGCGAACACCCGCTCCAGCTCGCACAGCTGCCCCCGGCTGAACGTGGTTCGCTTCCTCCTCCTGGGCCCCGCCGGGCAGCCCCCCGCGCCCCGCTCCGGCTTCGGGCGGCTCCCTGCGGGCAGGGGAGACGGGCAGAGCTCAGTCCCCAGCCCCGGCCCCCGCGAGCCTCCCCCGGCCCCAGGCTGCCCCGTCCCCGGTGCTCTCTGCTCGGGACACCGACCTGCTCGGGGCTCGGGCCGGCGGGCCAGGGGGGCGCCCCGGGCGGGGGGCGGGCAGCGGCCGGAGTCTCCGTCGGGGAAGAAGAGGCGCAGGCCGGGTGCGGGGCCAGCCCGGCTCATTCTCCTGCCGGGGTCCCTGCGCCCCGTCCAGTCCCGCGGCTGCGGCTCAGCGCGGCCGCCCCGCGCCTCCCGGGGCCTTTTATCCCCCGCTCCGCTCCGCTCCCCCGCCCCGGCCAGCAGCTCCCAGGGGTCTGGGACCGCCCAGGGCGGGCGCGAGCCGGCTTTGATCCCGCGGCGTCTGACACCCGCGGGCTGCCCCCCCCAGCCGCGCCCGTCGGGAGATCCCAGCCCGGCCCATCCCAGCCCCGCTAACCCATCCCAGCGCCCCATTCCCAGTCAGCCCGGCCCATCCCAGCGCCCTCCCCCCCAGCCGCGCCCGTCGGGGGATCCCAGCGCCGCAGCCCCATCCCGGCCCATCCCAGTCCCATCCCTGCCCAGCCCCGCTAACCCATCCCAGTGCCCCATTCCCAGTCAGCCCGGACCAGCGCAGCGCCCCAGGCCAGCCACATGCCCCAGCGAGCCCAGCCCACCGCCGTCTCTCTCCACCCCCAGGGACAGGGCTGTTTTGGGCTCCCTAGGTTGGGGCTACTTTAGCCAGGTCCCAGTGCCCTGGGTTGCGCCCCTTGCCCACTGCTGTCTCCCAGCCCTTCCTCCAGCGGGGTGGGTGGCCAGGCCCTGCCCCTGCTCTGGGGGGATGACAAGGGGGCCCCAGGAGCTGACCCAGTTGCTGAGGAAGGGAGGGCCCAGGCACTGAGCATCAGCGCCTCCCTTCCCCCGAGCCCAGGGGTAACTAACCGGGGCTCCGCCTTCCCCGTTGAGACCTGGGGCAGGTTGCAGGTTTGGAGTTTAAAAGGCTAAGCTGTGACCCAGCCTGGAGGGAGTCTCACAGCAATATGTGGCCCCAGGCAGAGCAGGTTTGGTTGTGGGGCCACATGCTGAATGCTGAGGACCAACCCAAACCCTGATTGCGAGCCTCCCTTTGCTCTGAGACGTCCCTTTGGGTTGGTTCCTCACCGGTTACTTGCTGGCACCCGCCAGGTCCCATCTAATTCCTTGCTGGGTGCTGGCAGGGCTGGCCCCAGTTCCCCACACAGGATATTCCCCTGTCGCCTTTCCCTATGGACCCACCCGTCAGCGTCTGCCCAGGGCCATGCTCCAGGCCAGCCCCCTCCCCGCTCGCATTCCAGGCTTCTCTGTGGGAAATCCTGCCCAGTCTGGCAGCACACAGGGCAGGGTGCCCTGGGGAAGTGGCTGTCAACCTCCCAGCCTGGCAAATGGCCAGTGGCCCCAGCACATCCTCTATTAATGCCTGGAGGCTGAGAGGCTGTGCGCAGCTGCCCGCAGGCTCCTCTGTGGCGTGATGGTGTCAGCAGTGGGTTGGCTGTCCGGAACGCCGTAGGCCTGTCTGCACCTACACTGTTCAGCATGGAACTGCCTTGGCCTTACAAGGGGCCACGTGACCTGCAGCTGCTGGACTGTTTGGGGAATAAATAGCAAGTGCTCCTCTTGCCAGGCTGCCAGCTGGAGGGAGCAGGCCCCTCTGTGCCATCCATGGCTAGCACCAGAGTATGACACTGGAGTAGCCTCCCCCAGGGCCCTGTGAATTGGGACTGAACGAAACACCAGCACTAACTCCAGCCCCTGGGGGGGGGCGCGGGTGGGATTCAGCCTCTAATTGTGCTGGTCTCAGTTTGCAGTGCCAATTGGCTAGTGCTGCCCTGGTCACACGTGGTGGTGGAAGCGTAGCCCGGGCATGGCCAGCTCCTCCTGTGCCTTGGTCAGTTCCTGGCTCAGGGACAGAGGGGGCTGGAAGGTGGATTCCGTGTGAATTAACCAAGCAGCCAGAGGAGCAGAGGGGGAAGGGGGGGAAGGGGTCAATGGGGCCAAGGCTCCCGGTGGAAGTGCAGAGGGGAGGGGGGCGCAGGGTTTCAGGCCTCTTCCTCTCATCTGTGTGAGGAGGGCTCCACGGGATACTGGCCTCTCTGCGGCAGACAGGACGCAGCACTGCCAATGTGCCGTGTGCAGGGCCCCTCATGGCACGGAGGGTCCAGCGAGTCGTGGCCCTTCCTGGCTGACACGTGGTGCCCCTGCTGCTCGCCTGGCGGCTGCCCTGTGCCAGGTCCCAGCGTTGCGTTTCCTCCAGCCCTGGTCAGCCGCTCGGCGAGGTTCCCGCAGTCACTGCTCCAACTGCAGCCGCTCGCCTCGCCCTGCTGAGCGGGGCCCAGAGCTGGCTGGGGCCATTCCCCTCTTCTCACTGGGTACCTCGGAAAGGGGCTGGCTTTGGCCAGCTTCCAGTGGCAGGTGGGCCCAAACTCTGGCCCCCTTCTCCCTCTGGCCCCTCCTCGGGGAGCCTCCCCTGCAGCTGGCCACTTTCCAAGCCAGGGGCGAAGAGCCCGGGGGAGGGGCTAGCTCCCCAAGCGGGAGCAGGTGAATATTTAACCGCAGAGCTGGCACTGGTTTTGCTTGGGCAGCTCTAGGCTGGTCGGGGGCGGTTCTGGCTGGAGAAGGGGGCGGTTGGGCAGCCGAAGAGCTGCGGATTTCACCCTGCAGAGGAGAGCGGTGGGATGGAGCACTACATCTAGCTGCGCAGTAAGCCAGAGAGTCGCAGGAGCTAGTGGGGAGGCCACCCCATCTCTCTGGGGCCACCGAGAGACTAAGGGCGGTCAGGGCACCCAGTCCCGGCAGGGGGAAGGACCACAGACCCTTCAGCCTAGGGGGCCCTGGAGTCTCCTATTCCCTCACACCAGGGGCAAGGGTCCCGTTCCCTCTGGCGGTGGAAGGGTTAACTGCATACCTGAGCAGCTGGTCTGGCACATCAGAGCTCAGCTGGGGAAGTGCCAATGCTGCAGCTGGTGAGGGGCTGCTGGGCGCTGGAGCCCAGAGCGGCAGCATGGCCCAGGAAGACAGCCCCCGGCTCCCCCAGGGGCGGCTCTCGGGCCCGCCAGAGTCCCTACTCCCCACACGGCTTGTTTTCCAGGAGCCCAGCAGGCGAACAGGAGGCTCCCATGAACAGGAAGGAAACACGTCTCCGGGTGGTGGTCAGGTGAGGGGGCAGGGACGGGCGGCTGATGGGTGCCAGGTTTAGGGCCAGGCACCTGGGAGCAGGAGGGTGCCCGCATGGTGAATGATCCCTTTCCCTTTGGCTAGGGTCCGGCCCCTGACCTGCCCGGAGCGCCGCAGAGGGGACCAGCGGCCTGGTCTACACTAGGACTTTAATTCGGATTTAGCTGCCTTAATCCGAATTAACCCTTCACCCGTCCACACTACAGAGCCAGTTAATTCGAATTAAAGGGCCCTTTAAATCGATTTCTGTACTCCACCTCGACGAACGGAGTAGAGCCTAAATCGATTTTGTTAATTCGAATTAGGGTTAGTGTGGACGCACACAACCGAATTACTGTGTTTAAATTAATGGGGTAGTGTGGCCGCACACCACCGAATTAATGTGGTTTAAAACCGAATTAAGGTGCTTAGTGTGGCCGCGCACAATCGAATTTATACAACCTGTTTCCCAAATTCGAATTATCTAAATTCGGATTAATCCTGTAGTGTAGACATACCCAGCGTGTGGTGCACTGCCCTGGGGACAACACCGTCTACGTGAGTGCCCCACGCTGGAGAGGCCACAGCTGGGCGCCGGCCTGAGTGGGCCTGATCCTGAGCCAGCTCTTTTCTCCCCGTGCCAGGTGAATGCGGCCGGGCAGGAGGCGGCCTTCAGGTTAAGTGCAGTGTTCGATGCAGGCACGTCCCAGGAAGGGGTGTTTGAAGGCAGCGGGATGAAGCGACTCATAGAGCTGGCAGCGAATGGGTGAGGCTGAGGCAACCCTGAGTGGAGAGTGTGCTCCCCCTCCCCTCTCCCTCCATCCCCTCCCCCTCTACCCACTCCCATCCCTAACCCCCAGCCAGCCATGCACGTGCTCCCCCTCCACCTGCCCCCCATTGCCCCCAGCCAGCCATGCGCGTGCTCCCCCTCCACCTGCCCCCCATTGCCCCCAGCCAGCCATGCGCGTGCTCCCCCTCCACCTGCCCCCCAT